ATATATATATATATATATTTGATGAGTAATATTTTTAAAAAAATTAATTAACTACAAAGCTGCAAAGATTTATAATCAATTAAAAATATTAATGAAGAAAATAGAATAAAAATTAATAATTTAGATTTGTTTTAAATCTTGCCCCAATCCTTAACATCTTATGGCTACGTGATTATGGTTCTCAAAACGACTCTTTGTTCATGAACGGCTCATGTTCGGCTCGCTAAGCAAATGAGCCGAACACGAACACACTTTCTGAGCTCAAAATATAAACGAGCCAAACACGACCTGAGCCTAGGCTCGCTCATGTTCGGCTAGTTTACACCCCTAATGGAGGTAGAGGCATTAACTTCGGGGAAGATTAAATCTTATATGGTTAATTTGTGTCATATATTTAATGAGTTTTTTATTTTCTTGTAAGGGAATAGAAACAAAATTATCTCGGTAGCTGGTTATTAAACGATGTATAGCCAGCCCATTGAATACAGAAATATATATATATATGTTTATAAAATTATGAGTTCAAATTATATAGTTTATTATTTATCATTCATAATTTATACGTATACATATCTGACATGTGATTCTTCTTAGCACAAATAAAAGATAAGCAATTTCCTTTAAAATAGGTAAAAAAACCAACAAAAACTTCAACAAAAAAATAACAGTCAAATAATAATATAATAACACCACAATAAAATCACAAATAACAACACAATAACACTGCAATAACATCACAATAATATCACAATAACACCGCAATAACACCTCAATTACACTTGAATAATACAAGAAAAATACCGAAATAACATCAAAATAAAACCAAAATAATATTGTAATAACATCAGTTGAATATCACCACGGAGCCGCCACAATATCACTAAAAATACCATAATAACGTCTCAATAACACTTGAATTACACTACAACATTACCACAACAACATCATAATAACATTGTAATAACACTACAAAACCTCACAATACTACTAAAATAACAACACAATAATATTTCAATAACACCACAAAAATAACACAATAATACCACAATAGCACCTCAATAATATCACGAAAATACTGCAATAATACCACAAAAATACCGCAATAATATCACAATAACATCACAATAACACAACACTAACACCTCAAAAATACCATAATAATATTGCAATAACATCATAATAACACTACAACAATGTCCCAAATAACATTGTAATAACCCCTTAATAACGCTATAATAATACATCAATAACGCCATAAATTAATGTCGACATTTGAAACACGGCTAAACTCACCTTCATTTCAAACTTTTCGTCAATATTTTCATATTTCATCACCTCCATTTCAAATTTCTCACAATTTTTTTAAAATTTCATCATCAATATTTATCGTTAGGAGGAAATGAACTGAGAAAATCACTCTGCGAAACTCTACGCGATGGCATTAGAAGAAAATGTTAATTTATTCAACGTAAAGAGTTTTGTTTTCAAAGCAATGGGCTAGATCGTGTCGGTTCATGCATTAAAACATAATGTATTTCATTTTTTTATTTAGTGAATCCGCTGGTGACGGTTGGCGAAATTTCATTGGAGTTCGAACCAAACTCCTGCTATAATATTTTTTTATCTTACCCATAGCAAGATTCTCTTATGAATTTACAAAGAAATAAAACATACATGTATAAAGAAAAAAAGATAATAAATTGATAATACACCTATTAATAGATTAAAATAATCTTTAAAAAATGACAATAAAATCTAGCTGATAAATAGTTTTTAAAAAAAAAAAAAATCTAAAATGCCTGCAATGACATGTCATCAAATAATAATAATAATAATAATAAATGAATTGAGTTGAAAACCCAAGCAAACCATCATTGTTAACCATAAAAATTTTCAATGATCAGTAATTAAAGGTGTCATCTGACTTTGAAGAAAAAAACCTAAAAAAAATTGGAATTTGACATGTAATTCTGGCAATAATAAATTTATGATTCAAGAAATATACATTTAATATTACATAAAATCACCAAAAACCCAAAGACTTTGTGTAACAAAACATACTCTAAGCTATGATATTTCCTGAAGGGTGATGATTAGTGTTTGATAAAATTTTGATCAAGATAAATTCTGAAATCATTGTATCAGTTATAAAATGATAACAAAACATACTCTAAGCTATGATATTTCCTGAATGGTGATGATTAGTGTTGATAAAATTTTGATCAAGATAAATTCTAAAATCATTGTATCAGTTTTAAAATGAGTGCAATATATGAAATGATTTGTCTTATACTAATCAAAAAATAAATTCAATGATTTTAAAATCCACCCTGATCAAATTTTGATCAGAATATCTTGACCCTAAATTTTAGGGGATCATTAAGGGAGGAATAGTATAACAACATGATACAATGTAAATAAAACAACAGCAGCTGAGACCAGAGGATTAATGGGGAAGAATTTTACTCATATTCATCTTCCCTTAATAGGGATTTGGCTGGACCTTCTGAACTCAAATGGAGGAAGAAAGTCCAGAGAGGAAGAAGATAACTCCCTCTGATGCACAGATACTGGAGGTAGAGAAGTGAAAGAGCTTCTGAGCCTCCTTTTCTCATCATCTGCGACATTAGAATCTTTACGGATGCCGGAAACCCCAAGGGCCTCAGGAAGGAGACAGGTACAGAAGGAAGCTGCAAGATGATGAGGATGAAATTAGTGATTAGGATATTTTTTTAGATTAATTTCATATAGGAGAGATTTAAATGAATGCCACTCAATTCCAATGTATTTACATATCTAGCACCTAAGCTTTAATTTTTACATATATGCCACCTTAACTATGGTGTATTTCACCTATTAAAGGTAAAAATAGAGGCGTTTTTGTGTGATGTCACAATTTTAAATGGTATAAATGTAAAAAAGAAAAACTTACGTGTTAGATATGTAAATACATAGGAATTTGGTGTTATACAGTTATGTAAGTAAATGCCCCTTTCATTAAAATATGAAAATAAAAGATTTTTATTCAAACACAATTTAAATAAAAAATGGGGTACTTTTTACAAAGCCAAGGACTTCGATCCAGATATGAAATTTATAATCCAAACAAAAAGTTCTCATTCATAATGTGAGTGTATGTGTGTCTATATATATATATATGAAAATCTGTGCAGGCCATTAATTCAGTGCATATTTTTACAGCAATAATCATTAAATTTCAATGCAGTTACATAAGCTAACATACGAGCAGCAGATAATGCCTCATTTTGTGAACTTGTTTGTAGAGTATTTAACATTTTATTTCAAAAAGGCTTGCGCTTCATGGTTTTCATTACAAATGGCTACTTATCCTTATAAAATTCTCAATTGCAAACCCAAAAAAGAATACTTGGTAAAATGCAAAATTCGCCAACCCGACACACACCCACAAAGAAATCTCTCCACTCTATGAGGTTAGAGTTATTAGAATCATTATATTACCTCATTACCACAATATGCTTAATATTTACTAGGAATTTATAATATTTATTATTGTAATATATTATTGAAAAGTAGTCTCCTCTTCTGTACTTTCTTAATCTTTATCGCTCTATTTTCTTGCATTATTTGCACTAGCATAGTACTCATTCAAGAAAAGATGTAACATTTTATGAATTCTAATGAAGTCAAAGCTATGACCTTACAGTATCTATCCATTCGACTGCAAAAGTCTTCGTCACTTAGAATGCCTTTCTAAAAGCTTGATGATCGTGGATTTCTTAGGCTTGATCATGAACTTAGCTTTTCTAGCTCGATTGCCCACGATCTTCTTATCTCGACTTTCTCTAGATCATTTATATGATCTTCATCCAAGAGATCTTCACTTGCAATCATCTTCATCTCACATGAGATCATGCCCAAGCATTCGCAAACTGCTATGTACTTGATCGTCTTCATCTCACATTACTGTCCACAAGCACTCTGCTCCACCCTTGGCATAGTGATCTCATTGCTATATAGATCTTGAGCCCACATTTATAGAGATCTTGTCCTCATTCAGCTATGTTGCTCCAATAGCTCTTGGCTCTTAACCCTCTGACTGCATCTGTAAATCTTGCTTATTGCTCTATGCAAGCATTCTCTCGGTTGTTACTCTGCATTCTCTTTAGTGCTCAAGGTTTAAAGAAACTTTTATATTTAAGATATTTCGACGTTTAAGAACTCAACTTCATTTTACTTGTGGTTTCACAACCCCCTCCACTTAAGCAACTGACATCCTCATTAGTGCTTTTAAATTAAAATTATCCACATGCAAATGATTCTAGAGGTGCTCTTACAAATTTAAGTAACTCACATCATGAAACACTTTATCCCATCAAGGATGAAAGAGGTGACTCCTATGATATAGCATTTTGTTCTGCATAGCATTTAGTTTCCATCTTCAGGCTTGTGTAATGCCCTAATACCATCTGCAATAGACCGAACTCTCGTCAATCGAGATATTACCCCCTTTGACCTAATGGTCTCACGATTTGTCTCATTGGTGTTACTTCTTAAGAGTTCACACATCCTAAGAGTGCTCCCCCACATGACCACGCCCACCTTTGGAGTTTCTTATTAAATTCCAACAATTACACCAAAACGCGCCTCAATGTCTAATAGTTGAACTTGACTCTACTTAATGGGTTTTACAACCATGTAATTTAACTACAACGAAATTTAATTTAGCAAAATGAAACACATCAACATGTTTATAGCATAGAATAAAAGAGCAATTCTGAAAAATGTTTCACTATAGCAAAGATAGTCATGTTTCCTATTAGTTCATTATAATACCAACACAAAAATTAAATTAGCGCCTTCTCATGGCTTAAAGAATAGACAAAGGAGTGCAAACTTTTCCCCTTTAGTCCTTTGACAAGTTATACATGGTGAAACAGTTCACAATACATTTATTTTCATACTTGGCCAATAATGCAAACCCTTAATTACAATTGCAGTTTTATGATAATGAACATATTAACACCTCATTGCTTATAAAGAATAGACAAAGGTGTGTAAACTTATTTTTATTTATTTCCCCTTTAGTCCTTTGACAAGTTATACATGGTGAAAAAATTCACAATACATCTCTTTCCATACTTGGCCTATAATGCAAAACCATAATTACAATTCTAGTTTTATGATAATATCTATCATCATCACCATAATAATTCAAATTCTAAAATAAAAATAAAAAACCTCCCAAGGATGAATTAAGAATGCAAAGGCAAGTCCTATTTAATCATATAACATTTACTAAGCCTAATTAACTAAATAAGTCTCTGTCTAAGCCATATATTTCATTGAAGTCCTTGCAAGTATCATATTCATCCTTAATGTGATAAAAAAACCACTAACTCACAACCCTAATTAATCAATCAATAGGCATATTCTTAATTCTGGCATAGTAATTTAGCATAAATGTATAATCTTACAAAAATTCAACTTACTAAGCTAGCAAGCCCAATTTTCTTTCTATAAATTCAATCATTTTAAGACTTGATGATAAAAAATAGAGCAATTTACTAGGCAACAAATAATGTCTCCAATATCAATGTTCCTACACAACAACATAAAACTCTGTCATAATTGAATAATTTTGCTTTATATTATTGAGTTTCTCACTAAAAGAAGCAATGAGATGTCTTTTCTGATTCGAAAATCCTCTAATACTTAAACCTAATACATTAAAAAAAAAAAAACCTCGAAAACTATTAAAATCGGACAATATATGTAGAGGTGCATATGTAATTCTCCCCTTAATATTACTAAAAGCATAACCGACAAATTTTGGAATTTAAACTCTCTGTTTTTTGGACAATATATAATTTTTACCATTATAACACAAAATCTTTAATGAATCATCAATTGAAAGTAGCCAAACAATGAAGGTCAATAAATCTATATCAGTAAGTGTTCGCTATCATAAATTGCTTTGACTGTACAAGAGCAATATGTAATCCATCACTCAACACAAAAATCCAAGAAACTAATGGATGATTTAACAAAATAGCAGTTGCACATATTCAAATGTAGCATTTAAGTTTGAAATTTTTAAAACTTTTTAAAAAGACCTAATTGATCCTCTCTAATATTATTGTAGATTAGAATATCATAATACGTAACCACTAAATTTTCGATGAAGATCCAAAATATTATTTATGATCCTCATAAAAATATGTATTAGTCGAGCCAAAAGACATCACAAATCATTCATATAAATGATCACTAATTCTGAAAGCAATTCTTTATTCAACATCTTCTCTAATTTTTGATAGATGGAACCATTCATCAAGATGATGTTTTAAAACATAACTCCAGCCATCATAACCAAGATATCATCTAATCTAAAGAAATTTGACATTGGATGTGATGATATTGATTGCATACCATCCACACTCATCCTTCAACTATAATATTTCTTAAGTACGCGAAATGCAAGAATTGCACAAGGACTCATAGGTGCTCGTAAAGTTTAAGATGAACATCGTAACTGTTGAATGCTTTGAGACATAAGCCTCAAAATCAACAAATTACTTAAAGTGAGAAATATTATACTAACTTGAAAGATGAAATAAAAAATGACAATATTAACATCTTAACTTATTAACACATTAAAAATAACACATAGATCATAATATAGCAAAAAGTAAAAAAATTATAGAATAAAAATTGCGATTCAAAACAAAATGAAAAAAATAAATAAGAGAATTTAAATAAAAAATGTAAAACAATTTATTTAGAAAAGAAAAAGGAATTTAGAGTTTAGAGATTGCCACTGGAAGAAGAATAGTTGTAGGAGACAAAGGAGTTTCAAATAAAGGAAGAGAACTTCGCAAGGAGGAGGAGGTCAAGCTGGCAATGATCACAACGAAGACGGCTAGCAATGTGTGTGAGAAGTGGTGATCATGTGAGATGGTGTTCACTCAAGCCGGAGCCTTTTGAAATTAAGGCGAGGCATGTGAGTAGCAATATTTCGGTAAGCGCGTTAATTGACATTTGTAAAAGAAAAGATTAAATTCTAATTACACATGCCTCACATAAACTGAATCGAGATATGCCTCGCCTTATATGAGGTGTAAATTTTATTGCAATTTTTTGAAAAAATTGATGAGATGTGGCTTATTTTTGCGTCTGGTATTATGCGGTTTTAAATCATGATTCTTGATATTTTTTTCTCAAGTAATTCATCCACCAATTCTTGTGCTTAATATGTTCAATTGCATTCGTCCTATTATGTGAAATTTTAGGTAACAATAATCCAATAATCAAAGCCATGGGAAGTTTTATGTCTCTACTTGGTTGTAATTCATCAAAATATCAAATTAGATACATTTGACAAAATCCTCATATATAGACACATCATTTTATTCAACAATTACCATAGAATAAATCACTCATTGCCTTGACTATGCTTTTCAAAAACACATTGATTGAAAATACACAAATATTTCATAAGTTCATTAGGAGCACTCACTAGATTCTTTTGCATTTGATACATAAACACCCATAGGTTTAGAAGGTTTTAAAACCATGTTCCTCGTACTAATCCTAAACACAGAAGTATTAAAACGTCTATATTGTGCATACCTAAGTCAAAACCAGGGTTTCCAAAATAACATGTGAAGCATCTATTGGTGAAATATCAGATCAAATGTTATCAATATATGCACCAAGTTGAACGGGAATAAAGATCTTATTTTGTATAATTACGGATGTAATTCAACTCCTAAGTTCACGCAATAAAAAATTGATTTAGCTATAACATTCATGCAACTCATAAAATCAATGAGTTTACAAAGTTATCATCGTGCTTAAAATATGTTGAAAATTTTAGTTCTTTTTCAATGAAGATTATCTTGAGGGGTGGCAAAAAGGTATCATATAACATTAAATAAATAAATAATCAACAAAGCATTTTTCAGAATCACAAAGTTTTCATCAAATTCATGAACACCATCCCCCTTACTCCTTTATAATGTCATTTTCCTCTTCCACCAAATCAATATGCAATTCTCTATTACAACATTCATTTACTAAGTGACTATTTGATGAAATTCAAAACAAGCTCTAGTAGAAATTTTGAAGTAAGAAGCAGAAGCAACAAATTTTCCGATGGTTTATCACTAACAATTGTGTTACTTCTTTGGAAGCTATGGGTGCAACAAATTGGGTGGTTACAGAGGTACAGTGAATGAGCTAAACAAAGCATATTATTTTCAAGGCTTTAAGATGAGTAGGAAAATGGTCTTAAAGGTAATACTAGAACCAAAAGCAGAAAGAGCGAAAAATCATTCACCCTACTCCCTAAGCTACCCTTACTTATTGATGATATTGGATAATGTTATTTAAGATCGATTATAATTTTGACTGATTTACATAACAAGGTCAAAGTTCAAGGAATGCAATTTCTTCTGGAAAATTAAAAGAAATAAATGCTAGTATTTATGCATTACCTATCTTAGCAAGCCGATTCACCCATTTTGGAATTGGGTTTCCAGTCAATTTACAACACATATCCTTGGAGAAATGATTGCAGTTATTAAAAATTAAATGATAAGTATCACCCCTGTAGGTTAGAGACTGATGTTCCATGAACACTCTGGCTTGAATTGGATCCAGACATGTTGTTCCAATAAATATAGACTTCCTAAACGTGTAGCCTAGGCATTGTCGAGGTTCAACCTCAAAGACCCCACTTGCCGAGCAATCAAGCGCCCCAAATGCATACTCCACTCCATGAACTGTAAGTATAAGAAGCATTACAATATTGCACAATTTTTTACTTACAAAATAAGGAAATCATCATTTATACCAACTTTTTAGAAGGAAAAAAATGGCAAGATATATTGATACAATGTGTATTTAGCATAGGCCAAAAAATCAATGGATTTGCTTTGGGATTGGTGTTATATATAGAGATGATGTACTTATTGTACTAATCCCAAAGAAAATTAGTCCCACCTTGATACAAGTTGTATCAGGATACCTTGACACAAATTTAGAGGCCCATCCTATCATTATCGATTTAATGTTTCCAAAACAGTATAGTCATGCTTTAAAAACAATATGCCAACTAAATTATTTAATGAGCCAATAAAAAAAAAATCAGAATATTCCATCAATATTAAAAACAATGATGCTATGTTTCAAAAACAAAAAGATTTTGTTTAACCTCCATTTTTTTTTTGTTAACAGAAATTACGAGTACATAAGCAAAAAGAAGCTTTAACTTTTCCGATGTTTCAAGAATTAATTGCCCTGAAAAACTTACCCATACCATTAATGGATTGGGTTTATAAAGAGCCTTACAGCATTTATAAATAAATCCCTAGACTTCTTCTATTTACAAATAGACCCTACATTAGATACAAATCTCAACGCTTCCGCTCAAGATGGGCAAAAGTTATCCACTAAGTCCATCTTGTCCCATAACCTAGACAAATCTTATGAGCTAAGTCTTCTGGTGAGGCCACTTGCTCTCCCATGGCTGCATGACTCAGCTCCAATAGTCCGTTATTCAGCATTTCCATGATGAAGAATCTATCAATCTCCACATGTTTGGTTCTATCATGTTGCACCGGGTTGTTGGCAATGTTGATCGTTGACTTATTTTCACACCACAAATTTGTTTGAGCTCCTTGGGCCACCTTAACATCAACCAAAAAGGCTCTCAACCACATCATCTCAACAACTCCTAAAGCCATGGCCCTGTACTCTGCTTTGTTGGTGACCTCGCTACTACTGATTGTTTCTTGCTCTTCCAAGAGAACAAATTGCCTAGTACAAACATGCAGAATCCATATATGGACCTTCTGTCATCCATACAACTCGCCTAATCAGAGTCACAACAGCCCTCAATGCTTATGTGTACATTCTTCCTGAAGATCAACTCCTTCCCCCGTGCACTCTTCAGGTACCTCAAAATTTGATACACTGCATCCATGTGCCCTTTCCTCGGATTATACATGTAACGACTCACCACACTTGTTGTAAATGATATGTTGGGACGAGTGTGAATCAAAAAAATGAGACGATTTATCAACCTCTGGTAACTCTTGCGATCAGCCGACTCCCCTGCCTCTGCGCTCAATTTTCCTTTCTGATCAATTGATGAAACTACAGGCTTGCATCCCAATATGTGGGTCTCTGTGAGCAAATCTATCACATACTTCCTCTGAGATAGATCAATCCCCTCTGCTCCACAAGCCACATCAATCTTGAAGAAGTATCTAAGTTGTACTAGGTTTTTC